CGGGTTCAGCTGGAGCTTCCTCGGCTTCAGTTTGTGCCCGTTGCCCCTTGTCCTGTCGCTGGGCACCACTGGAAAGAGTCTGGCCCTGTCCTCCTGACCCCCACCCTGCAGATATTTAGAGGCATTTCTAAGGTCCCCTCTCAGCCTTCTCTTCTCCAGGCTGAACAAGCCCAGCTCCCTCAGCCTTTCCTCGTCGGAGAGATGTTCCAGTCCCCTCATCATCCTCGTAGCCCTCTGCTGGACTCTCTCCAGAAAAGCTGCGTTAGGGGCCACAGCCCCATCCTTTCTCCCGTCTCAAGGCAAGGGCACAGCAACTCCACAGCACAAAACACACCAGAAAGCCAGCACGGGGCTCGGGGCTTCCTCAAGCGAGCGACAGCCCCTGCCTTCTTTGCAGAAGTGACCGGGGGGGGGCTGGAGCCCCCCATCCTCATGCAGCTCCCAACGGCCTCGTCCCCGTCCCCGCGGCAGGAGGGTGCTTACCGGCACTGATAGTGGTGAACTCCTGCATGTCCCGGAGGAGCTGGTTGATGGTGGGGCTGGAGCGTGGGTAGAGCCCATCCCGGCTGATGCCCAGGTGGAACTGGAGCCAGCTGGCCTCCGGCCGGAGCGGCAGCGGTGCAGATGGGGACGTCAGGTTCAGCTCCTCCCTGTAGAGCCTGTGTCGCCTGGAAGAGAGCAGTCACGGGGCAATGAGGATGAGCCACGGGATGGAAACTCTTGCTGCTCTGAGCCCAGAGGGTGCTGGGGAGCAGAGCTGGGGGCCACAGGGTGGATAAAGACTCTGGGTGCGACCTGAGGGGAAGCTGAGGCAGGGAGCAATGACTGAGATGGTCAAAGGTCTCACAAATTCTGTTTTCTTCCCTCTGCAAAGCCCTGGGAAAGCAGCCGCAAGTGGGAACACGAGGGACTCAGTTGTCTTCTCCTCACCCCATCAGGAGCAGGAGGGGTGTCAGGGCATGACTGGAGCTAAACCGCATCTCCAGCAACCCAAGAGCTGGCCTCTGTGATGGACAAAGGGCTTTCTGGAGGGACTGCAGGCTCCAGGCCTGGGGAGGGGACATGATGTGACAGCAGATAACTTCAGTCTCAACTGCTCAGTGAGGTGTCTGGAGAGCCCGGGAGGACAGCAGGGTCTTGTCCAAGTGAGCCTCCGCAGAGGAGTGTCTTCACAGTCATTACATCTCTGACAAGAGCTTTTTGCTGAAGCTGGAGGTCCCAGGTAGGGGAAAAAAAAAAATCACTGTTAGGGCCACAAATTGCCTCCGTGAGCAGACTCACAGCCCTCGATACGGCGAGCAGCGATGCGACGAGGCCCTCCAGCAGCATCCTGCCCATCGCCTCTCGAAACCAAGGCTGAACCCGTCCCTTTCTTGGCCGATGTGGAGCCAAACGGGGCCCAAGAATAACCCAAAGGCGTCTCCCCACTCGATCACCATTTTCCTCGACCTCAAGACCTCCACGGCCAGGACCCACGCTTTGCAAAACGGCAGTCGAAAGGTCACTTTTTCCACCCGGCGGAGGACAGAGGGTTAGCTTCTCATTAACGCCGGCCGAGCCGTGTACGGAGTAGCCGATAAAGGGAAAACGAAGTTCAGTTTGCACTGAAAGTGCCAAGACAAATCCGTGAAAGAAAGCAGGAGCCCGGGGGCTGATAACGAGCAGGGCATTCACCAAGGCTGGGATGGAGAGGCCGGGGAGCGGGCGGCCACGTGTCTTGCTGGACCCTCAGCGAAACACAGGAAACGCAAAAGATGTAAAGAGGCTTTTCCCTGTCTGCCTCGAGTCTTTTTCCTGATTTTTTCCTAATTTTTTAGTTTTTGCCCAACGCAAACAAAACCAAAAGCGGCGAGAGGGTGGGCGGATGCCCACGCTTTTCAAGCGGAGTGGGAGAGGGGAGCGTGCCGCGGGCTGCACCGGGGTTTGCCGCGCTGCGTGCAAGCGAGCGAGTGCGGACCGTGCACCCAGGCACTGATCGGCCAAGGAGTTGGTGCTGGTGGCTGGAAAGGGCTCTGTGTCATGGACGTTACTGGTTTTTTGCTTCAAACTGGCAGGAAAGCATTGGGTCTGAGTTGTTTGGGGTTTTTTTTTCCATCCTCCTTCTCCATCCAAGCAGGCGAAAAAGTGTGGTTAACCCAGTCCAACCATGAGCAGGGGACGAACCCTCCTGGCAGCGAGGGAGACGTTTCACAGAATCACAGAATGGTGGGGGTTGGAAGGGACCTCTGTGGGTCACCCAGTCCAACCCCGTGCCGAAGCAGGGTCACCCAGAGCAGGCTGCACAGCACTGCGTCCAGGCAGGTCTTGAATAACTCCAATATCTTGAAGTCCAATACTTCAGGGAGAAATCTAGGAAGCACGGTATACCCGCAGGTCAGAGCAGCCCGTTCCCTCTCCCAGTTTGTTTGCCTTTAAACTGGGTTGGGTCAGCGATGGCGTGAAGCCCACATGCATGCGGTCGGAGGAAGGGCGTCGGGGAGTTCCTCCCTCGGTCCGGCTCCTCGCTCAGGGCGTCTGCAGAGCAGGCAGAACCTCCCCCGAGTCGGGCGGAGGCGGACACGGGAGCGTGCTGAGACTTGTCAGCGGGTTTGGTTGGCAGGCTGGGCACGAGGACGTGGTCCTGGGATGCCGTCGGTGCCGTGCAACCAGGTCTTGCGTGGGCAAGTCTTTGAGGCACAACCTGAACCCCTCGCCCTGGCCAGGGATGAGAAAGACCCCAGCGTAACTTAGAAGAATGACTCAAGATTTTTCCCTAGGGAAGCTGCCCAAATATTTGACCATATTTGCACTCCTGCCTCCCATAGACACAGGCTGTTCCCCGCCCCGGGGTGGCAGTGAGCAATAGATTACTGACGGGGAAAAAAATGCAGTGGTTGTGACAGGGGAGGCGGCTCCGGGCCAGCGGCTGCTTCCCTCCCAGCCCAGCGCCCGCACGGTCCCTGCCCCGGGCGAGCTCCTTTCCAGCCCCGAAACCCAAAACACAGCTCCCTCTGCCTCCCCGTTTCCTTCAGGATTCCTGAAATATTTCTCTCTACCAACAGAGCTCTGCAAAAGACAGAATCATACAAAAAAAGGGGTCATTTCTACCTTGCTATAAATAGCCCCGGGGTTGTCCTGGCTCTCTGCTCAGCCAGCTCGCTGCTGGGCTGCGAGGGGCACAGCGTGGGGTGATGCTGGGCGCAGGCACCCAGCTGGTTACAGAGTTTGGGGCTTTGGAGCTGTGCCCTCGAGGATAGAAATAAGCTCTGGAGTTTTTAAGTTGTTTTTTTTTTCTTCCAGTTTTGAAGAGGTGGGGATGGCTTTTTTTGCCGTTTCCTTCCTGCATCCCCATCAGTCTCTCCAGCTGGTTCTGCATCCTGCAGTCAAATTCCCGGTCAGGAAAAGCACGGCGACGGGCAGCAGCCAGCGCGCAGCGAGCACCGGGGAGGTAGGACACTGTTCCGCTCGAGAGGAGCGTCCCGCCACTCTGAAAGCCGCTTTGCCGACAGCCAGACCTCTGCGTGATGCAGAAACGTGCCGTCACCCGGTCAAGCCAAGGAGGGGGAGGCCCGTGGGTGCTCAGCTCTGAGCCTCTTCTGGCTGGTAGTGGACGTGGGCACACCTCGGTGGGAGCTGGTGTGGACCTTGCTCCCGCAGCACTGTCTCCAGTCCTCCACAACAGCAGCGGCTTTGCGAAACCGATGGATTGGGACAGAAAGCCATGGGTTCCTGGGTCCCGCAGAGGACACTGCCCTTCGCCCTCGGCAAACGTAGGGACGGCTCTTTGACTGCGCCGGAGAGGACACGGGCTCTGTGGTGCTTCTGGCGAGGCAGAAACTCCTCCACGCCCGCAGCAAACCAACGGTCTTCTGAAAGGCATCGGCCCCAGCAAGTGCCATCTTCTCAGGCATCAAATTTGCAGCACCAGCGGCAGGAGGGGCTGTGTGTCACCTGGGTCTGCGCACGCTCTCTGAAGGCTTTACCCGTTTATGAGCACCATATACTTCATTTCAAAGTGACTGAGGAATAATCAATACTCTGCCTCCCTTCTCCTTCTTGGAGGTGCAAAGTGAAGTCAATCAAGGGCAAACAGCATCGCAGTTTTCCTCCCGGCCACATCAAACCCAAACCTCAGAACAAAAGGCAACGTGCAGCCACAGCTTCATCGCAAATGGCACCTTTAAACGAAGTGGTAAATAAAGCCGGGGAATGCAGGCTTCTTCCCAAATAGCCGGGGCTGTCCTGCAGGCGAGGCCGGTATGGATGTAATGCCAGCGCCGCTGCAAGCGCTTGGCACTGGGTGCTCAGGGCTTCTGGCGGTGCTCAAGAAGCCATCAAGTACGTGCCATGAGCTCCTTCGGTTCAAATCCCCCATCCTCACCAGGCTTTTGCTCGGAAAACATCCATCTTGCTGCCCAAATCGTAATGTCTTCAGGAGGCATCGCTCAGCTTCAAGAAGATGCACCCAAGGGGGGTCTGTGGCAGAGCCTGGCCGTGGTGTGTGTCCCAAGGGATATCCAAACCCACCGCCCATGGCCTTCAAGCGATGTGAAGAAGGATTTGACCTGCTCCAGGCTGACTCGGGCGAGCGCTGAGCCTCGCAGGGGTGACCCCCGGCCGAGCACATGGGGCGGCTCCAGGCCCCGGGCGCTGCTCAGCCCATGGAGGTCATTCTTCTTCGGTTCCTTCCGTTATCGCTTCCCATCGTCTCCTCCTGCGAATCGTGCCTGAAACTGGGACTGGGTGACCCCCACAGAAAGAAGAGGAATACGCGTCGAAGCGGAGAAAGTGGGAGCTTGGAAATCCTGCCCACGTGGCTCAGCAAACAGAGGAGCAGGGGCCAGGTCTGACGCTGGAAACCAAACCTGGGCAGTGGGGAAGTGCTGGGACAGGGACCTCTGAGGTGGTCCCCAGGAGATGCCGCTGTCCCCATCCCATGAAAGGGGTGGCAAGGTGATGCTATGAGCTCAGCGCGCTGGGAGCCTCGGCGCGGAGGCACCACAGTGACCGTCCCTGTTGGATCTGAGTTTGTGCCCGAAGAAAGAAGCTGGTGGGATGCAGGGAGGAGCTGGGGGATGCTGGAGGACCCTGGGAAGAGCTGGGGGATGCTGGAGGACCCGGGGGATGCTGGAGGACCCTGGCTGTTTCCAGCTTGGCCACAGGCCCACTGCAAGGGGGCTGGATCAGGGGTTCAGGGGCCTCAGGGTTTGAAGCCTCAGGGGTCGGATGCACAGGCGGCCGATGCTCAGAGCTGGTGCTGGGGGTCACTGTCCCCTCCGGGGCAGGGACTATGGGGGTTAGTGACAGTCCCAGCCCAGGAGCAACCATTGCTGGGGCTGGGAGAGGCAGCAAGAAGAGGGCTCTGAGCTGGGAGTCCAAAAGTAAAAGCCTCCGCACTTCTTCTTGCGGAGAAGTCAGCAGCGGGAACGGGAGAAGGGCTGAACGGGGAGCCAGCACCCCGACACCGCTGTGGTGGACCTGAGAAGATCCATGAACTTGCTTGGAAGCAGAGACTGGGGGTGCGGGGCTCTGGCCCGGGGGGCTGTGGCTGCTGGAGCCTGGGGGCTCCGGTCCTCACGCAGCAGAAGGGCTGGGGGATGCAGGGGCTGGGGGCTTTTCTGCCCCCAGGTCGAAGAGGGGATGTGGAGCGAAGGGTCTCACCCTGTCTGTGCCCCAGCAGCCACCCCTC